ATAAATAACTGACTTTAGTAATTTATTTAGTTTATTAGTATTAATGTTCTATGATTTGTAATTTTAAGATAATTTTTTATCGCCTTATATATTGATACCGCTTCAAACGAAGCGGCCGAAAATAAAACTTAGAAGTATATTATAATGAAATTCGGTGAGTTTATTCCAAAAATTTTTATAGAGTAGTGTGTGGCAAAACGTATCTAATATAATAAAAATATAAAATAGTAAAACGAACTATTTAACGTTCTAATCGAGAAAAAGCAACAGGTTTGTTATGTAAAAGTAGAAAATAAAGTTTTGGAAAACCTTGTTCAATTTTCAACTCACAAAATGTTTATCCATAAAGTGAACAAAAATTTTTTAAAAAAATTACTTATAAATAAATAAAATATTTAATAAATTAGTATGTTTGCTTTTTCAAGAATCTACGTAATACTATATTGCTTTATACTCGTCGGAATTTTGAAAGTGGAATGAATTGCTGGTGACATGCTGAAAAATGCGTCGATGAGTAGCCTTTCATTCAGTGAAAATAGGCATGGTCTATACCTCGCAACACGGACAAATGGATGGATTGATTGAAAAAAATTCTCAATACATTGAGAATACAAATTGTGGAATATAATAAAGGTTCGAGATTTTTTTACTCACTCCCCGTAGCAGGTGGACCACCTGTATATATTTCTTTAATTTCGGGCAGAATTTCGCGAAAACTACGGTTTTTTTTTCCAACAAATGTACATGACCTTTTTAATCGAATAGATTTTTTACAACTGACTTTCTTTAAGGCAAAAATCTCCGTCTCCAATTTTGTGGTTTTTTAAATATTTTGTTTTGCAATTTTTGAAGGAAGGAAAAAAATCCCCAAAATGAGATTTGCACCATATTTTTTTACCGCCGCTTATTACAAATGGAAAAAAAAATAAAGAAAAAAATTAGAGTCATTCCCCCCTTCACATCACTTTACAAGCACTATTGCTTGCACACGTGTTACACAAAATTATTTTAATTCGAAAATTTCACTAACGTGGTGTATCTTATAATAATATTCATCTTCCACACACATTCGCATTTGTAATATTACACTTTAAGTATTGCTCTGTAATTCATCTGTAACTGCAATGGGAAATACGCATCGACCGCGAGGGACAGAAAAAAACTAGAACAGTCAATTTTACCCAAACGACCCATAATCAAATATACATTTTGAATCCAAAAAGACCTAACATCAAACTAATCTAAATCCTGCAAACCTCATAAATAATGCATTCAATATCGTCAATAATCAACTTAACATTTATATTTTCAATAACATGCGAAATTCATAAAATTAAGTTGCAATTGCGTCAAGACGAAAGAAAAATGGTATTATATGGACGCCGCGCAGACTCTGCGAAGACTCGCTATCCATTCATTGCGCAACGGAAAAGCCATATTTTGAAGTACAGGGCCAAAGAGTAAATGCAGTAAACGCCGTAATACAGCCAAGAGCACGGCATGGTGCAATACCTGGGCCAGACGCCGTAGACGCTGGTTGAGTACCATTTGGTTTGAAAATGATTTCAAATACATCGACATCGCTGCAATATCTTGAATATTGCATGTTTTTAAAAGGAAAAGGTATATTTAAACATTGATAAGATCTTTTTCGATTACTTAGGAGCTGTGCAACCTAAGCACGATGCGCCACTGGTTCAAATCTTATTAATATTTGCTGAACACGGAACCATAGTCACCGTTGGTTTGTTGCAGCAGGTACTTGCTCCGAAGAGAATTCGAGCCTACTCTCAACAAGTTGGCAATATCTTTCAGCGGCTAGACACACGAGTTTACATACTGCCTGTATATCTGGCAAAAAAGTTGCCGACATCAAAAATATTTATTGACGCATTGTTTACAATAGCAAATTTTCTTTAAAAATAATACTGATTGCAGGTATAAAGCCAATATAAGAACCAGAATTTGAATCCCAGCTCAGGGGAAAAAATTAGCAGGTTTGTGTATTACGATATTCCGCAGACGTTACGAAAAAAAATATTCGAACAATTTTGTTAGTGTATTGTCACATTTCTTACGCTGTTTTCTTGTAACAAATACACCTAGTATTATTTGTTTTCCATGTTTATTTTGTAATTCTTGTAGTTTGATTCCTCTGTCTTGACCAGAGCTTTTTTTTCCTGCAAAGTGATGGTCAGTACTTCAATTCATTGCCTCCGCATATGTTTATTATTTCTAACATCATTTAAAAACAATATTATATATTTCAATGATGAAAACAGAGACCAATCGTTCTCTCTGATAACGTAACTAGCATTTGTAATTTACCATCCTAGTCAGAACAGAAGTTTATTTTACAATGTCATTTCAAATTACTTATAATTTAGACTACTTATCTTCTTAGGTTTGTCATATATTTCCCACTTTTTGAATGGGAAATACTTGCTTCAAACACACTTAGAACGTCAGTGTTAAATTACGTGCAGCAGTTAGGTCCTATTAATAGGTACGAACAATGACTATAAAGAGAATTTGTTTGTGTAAACAACATACATATGTTTAAGTACTATTTACATTTGTTAACAGGCAACGTAAATCTAAAGCATATATTCGTACATACTAATCATTTGCAAACGACGCAGGTTAGAACACAACTGGGACAGATCCCGTATTTCAGCAGAAAACAAGAAGATGGTATTTCTGTTCCATTATTCTTCGTACACTATTTTAGTTGCTCAGGATGTTAATACTGAAGAGAAACCACGGAATACACACACGCCGACGACAGTGTAAAAACAACGTACGTAATTATTTTTTATGCATAAGTTTCAACAACATTTTAATTACAAACTAATCGAAAACTTGTAAAAATTGCAATGTACTCTTCAAACGTCTCAAGTGATAAGCGTCTATCTTGAAAATCATTACAACGCAGCGAAACAATGTGGATATGAGTCAGGTTAAAATATCATACATTATCTTCATGCCACAGAACAACACGAACTTTAATGTCGCTCATAACTACGGACGAAGAAACTATTAATACTCAAGACTAATTACGCAATAAAAATACTTAGAAGTATTTTAAACAGTAATTTACATCATTATCGGTGACATTCCGTCAAGTATATGTAGAGTAACGCTTACGATGCTAGAAATGACATCAAAATTAATGGTAAAGAAGGTCCAATGTAAATCTATGGAATAATCAAATAAATCACTTGGTACAAAAGTGTTTGATGCATACACAGGCATGTCCATCATAGGAGAGTCAACGGAGTAAGAAATGTAAAACTTCTGAAATTCGCAGATATGTACAGGCGACAGTGCTCAAGAGGAATTCCATGAGTAGAAAAGCAATCTCCGGAAGTGAGTGGAATCACAGGAGTAAGTAATACAGGATAGATGTAAAAAAGGGAGAAAATTACTCGAAAAGAATTGGAATAGCAGTACGGGAAAGGCATAAGAAGAGGTCCAAAGCACAAACACAATAATATTGAAAACGTGTGTAGAAAGCAACACGCATGACATGTGGTAACAAATATGTAATGTATGTTTCAGGGGGGGAAACTGGGACACAAATCACAAGAAATTGCACATGGCAAAAGCCAAAGATTTTCGAAAACTATCAGAGTTTATTTCAAAATAAATTATTATAATATATTTAAAGCATATACATAATAAAAGCTATGATAAAATAATTAAACGGAGTGGGGGAAAAAGTGATAGCAAATGAAAGAAATAAAGGAGAGTAATGACAAGATACAATAAATTAGTTGCCAAATTAAGAATACGAAAGATTTAGAATCGATGAAAATAAGAAAGGAAAGACGATCCAAGATCAACTCAAGAGCCCAAACAATGCGTTAATTTTACTACAAGAAAGAAAACAGAAGCTTAGAGAAAGAAGACAGATGTATCAGAGTTCTAAGTAGGCATTAAAATACAGGAAGTTCAAAAGCAGAGGTCAGTATTTGGATAACAAAACAAGGGCATAACATTAGGTACAACGCAAAGGACATTACCTGCAATTCACAATTACACGGGGACACCAAGGAGAACAGAACATAAAACTACGCTGTAGGGAAATGCGCACAGCAAAGCGAAGGACGAAAACACGCCGCCACCGGGAATCAAGGACAGAGGAAGGTGGTTCACGGGATGATCGGCGCTAAAATATCTCGCATGCGCACCACAGGGAAAATGTTGGCTCAGTGTATATTGAATTACAAGTGGTGCTCCATATTTGATTTTTTCCTTCACCATGGAGCACCTGCAAAAAATGAGCAAAGACGACGCGTCCCCAACAAAATTTCGCTACAATCCGCGTAGACTAACTACATATGAAATTACTTTATGTAATTATGATTAATTTACAGCGAAGGTATGATTGCATTTACCATAACTACAGTTGAAGCATGTACAGTGCACAAACATGAGTGAACACGTTTACTACATTCAATCAAATACAAGTTAAATTTACTTAATTATGAACAAAAAGCGAAAAATTTCCTAACATTTTCTCAATTCAGACTTCAAGGCCGATTAGTATATCCATGTGTTTCTAGTTAATTACTTTTAAATGTTACCCTTCGTTGAATGTGCATCCCTCTACTACAGCAGATTTGAGATGAAAATTGCCTCAAAAGATCGGCAACAGCGTCCTTACATTAAAAACATGACCCATACAGTTTTACCCTAAGAGTAAACGTTTGGTCATCAATATAGCAGATAAATATGCTTGACATTTATATTCCAAACGTGAACAAAAACTAATTTAATCTAAAATATTTTATTTGTACAAATTGGATAAAATGGCACCGTACACTTTGTTCTTGCAGAATATTGATGTTATTGAAGGAAGTTTTTGTTCTACACAAGGTTAAATTTGGCACGGGGAACAGAAGCAAATATTCCGTGTACTTAAGTGCCAGCTCTAAATAAGCATTTCTCGAACTTTTTGAAGGCTGCATCCTCCACACCTGGCATGTTTAATATACCCCCCCTCCAACAATGAATTTTATCAAAATGACGCGTTTCAATTTTCTGGCAACATTAATAAATATTTAATTTTCCGATAAAATTTTGAATTTTAATAATCACGTGATCATAGAGGAAACGTAACTTCTCAGTTAAGTGAATAATTTCTCCTTTCCATTTACTCACGGAAATTGTGTAAGTACTCGGTCTTAAAAGCCTACCCCGACGGTACTGGTTACAGATGGAGAACTGCTCCTGGCATTTAAGTAAATCTCTCGAAGTTCGTTCTTCCTTTGAAGCAAGCAAAGCAAGTCGAGAGTCAAAACATTCTGAAGAGACCTAAAATTCTCTTAAAGGAGACATCCAATATTTTTGGTGGATAAGGATTTTGTGAAAAATTTAGCAATTGTTCGAAAATTCCCTTTGAACCTCCTAAATAACTCCAAACTAGGATTAACATAGCAACAATACTTCAAGAAACTAGACTTCGTACATAATGCCATGTGCAATCTTTAGTCATTGAACTAATAACGAAATGGCTTTTCCCCAAAGGTAACAGCAATATTAACCAGAGCACGTGCAATTAATAAATTGAACGTTACCAAGCAGTGTGCGCACCGAGCATTAAATTAGACACTTTCTAATAGCCGAGATGTTTGCATTGATATCTCTCTCTGTAAAGATATTGCCAGACGTTGACATTAGGTTTACGTGGAGACTACGAAACCTCACGGATAAGCAGGCACACCGTCGTGAAGTTAAGGTGTTCGTAATTATTTCAGAAACGTTGGGGAACGCTGGGTAACAGGGCTGTTTACTCGTAGAAAAAAAAAACGTTTTAAGAGGGGGAGGGGGAGGGAATAGAAAGAATCTTTCGAACTGGCATATCCCACAGAATGTTGTTGATTAATAAAACTGATTACAGCATCGAACGTGTTTTGAGTTGAAACAAAAGCGAATCCAGGAGTCGCATGGTCCCGGGCGGTCTGGATCTGTCGTTCGATTTGTCTATTCACAGGCACACTGAGTGAGGCAGCAGCCCCTTCCTTGCGCCGCCTTCAAGGCCTGTAAATGCCGGGCGCATGCACTTCTATCATCAACGGAACTTTTAAAGGAGAGCCCGGTAAGCTTGGTATAATCTAGGTCACCAATCAAAATGTCCCAAGACGGTTTATTTTCCTTCTTCAATACCTTCAGAGTTAAGTTGGGAAACGCTATTTATCGCGGTCCAAAAGAAGGTAGAAAACCATTGAGTCCGTTTACGTGGGAAAACGTAAATGTCGCCAGAACTACAGTAGTAAGTGCGTCTTAGAAGCACACGTTATCCTTTAGTTTTGCGGATGGTGACCACAATTCCGTCTATCAGCAAAATTGCAATTCTGGAGTACGGATAGTTTTCATCAAGAGGGCACCTGATTTTGCATCATGTTCCCTACATTAACTCGTCTAAACGTCGGAAACTTTCCTCTATATTTTGTGCCCAGATGAAATTGTATGTTTACTCCCTCCTGAATTCGAAACCATCCCTCTTCAGGCACTCCTCGTTGTGTTAACCTTTCTTATTTAAGGTCGCATCAACATCTAGGTCATTAGCGATCACTATTGCATTTAACGGCATGTTAACTGTGAAGATGACGATGTAGTGATGATAGAGGGTGAAAGGACGAATACAAATACAACCATGCCCGAGACGCGACTCGAACCAGCGATTCTTCGGTCCAGGATCGCTACGACGCGACTGTGTTAACGATCTCGGCCATCCGAAACTGCCCATGCCTCCTTTATTACTTCTTCTAATTGGCCGGGGAAATGTGCGTATGCTTCTCGTATCAATTCTTTATCTCAAAATCCGCGAGATTCACAGCCCTTAAATATCTCAATTTTCAGTTACTTTCGTCGAGAATCCGTAATTACCTTTCTCGCATTAAGTATATACCTCATGAAATATTTCCAGTTTCGTTCAACCAAAACTAAAGTTTTACCTCCGTCTCTTTCAAAGGAATTGTTCCAAAGGAAAGTTGCACAAGGCATTTTAAATATCGGCACTGTCGCAAAAATAGGAACAAATATGTTATTCCGCCTCTCATTGGTAATTCCAATGTCATTTGAAATACATATTCCAGAAACTGTTTTGGTATCTAACCCGTTACCATTGTACGTAGGAGACTTGGATACCTTATCGTAATTTCTACTAACGTCTAACAACGCAGATTGTCATATTTTTAATTGAAGTATAGAAGTCCTTACTAATTTTCTGTCAATTTTAAAATTTACTCGATTTTTAACCTAATTCATATGCGAAATAATTTTATTAAACTATCAATACTTTTGTAATATTCTCCATTCTTACATCATAACTAGCAAGAGTGACCAAAACATTCAACTCTGCGACGTATCGAGATGTGCTGCCCCCATAGGAATGATTGTGCACGATGTGTGCTGTTTCAACTGTACTTTGTGGTAAATAAGTCGCCTCATCGTTGCTCTGAAAACCATAGATTCTGCTTGAAATAAAAATGACATCTGAGTCACTGCTGTGGAATCTTCAAACTTGCTTGCACGCTCATCGCTTCGCATTTTACTTGACTCTTTTAATCACTCATTTTTCGTTTAAACAATCAACAAAAAACGGAAATTTGTTTACCGCTAATACAAATTACACCACTCAGTTGTTGCGTTTTATTCTTCCTAAAAGATATGAAAGTACTTTTTCAGGACTGCAAAGATTTGAAACAAGTATAAACGGGATATAGGTTAGCGGGAGGGAGACGCAAATATTTAAATTTCTGATCAGACTATGTTGCAGAATTTTTGATTTTAAATGGGGGTAAAACTAATCAAGTGAACACACAAAGCAGGTTTTTAACGACAATGCATTTTCTCCTCGTATTTATAAAATAAATTGTAATAATTTGCTTTTTTTGTGTAGGTTCCACATTAATAGGAACCAATGCATTCAAGGAGCCGGGAAAATTCCAGAAAATAAATAACTTCGAGGACCAACGATTTGATGGGTATAACTTAGGTCGGCTGAGAAGGATGTTGCGCTCATTTTTAGATCAGGAGATGTGAGGTTTTGTGTCCAAACACAAAGAGTGACTAGGACAAAACTAGCAAAAACCAATTTCATGTTATATTCTCTTCTACACACTTATCACAATCCCCAAGACGTTGATATTGATTAAAGTCCTTGTAACAGTGGTATTTCATTTAAAGAGCATTTCACTATTTTTTTTGTCATTATGCAACCGAAATAATGTAATTTAATAATAGGTGTAAAACCTACGAGGATTAACGCGAGAAATTTTTATCTTCTTTCTTTCAGGGAGCCAGTTTGTGCTCAATCACAAGTCGAAACAGTACACCTTGTGCACTGCTGACTTAACATGAGTAAAAGGACGGCGCAGCGTCTTTCTTTCATAATCTAGCGCTTTGATACTCTCAACAATTCACATCAGTATTGGTATTTAAATGTAATTCACAACCGGTCTCTCTCCTGATCTAAACCTGAGAGGTCGCGCTGAGAAGCAGTAAGGTCGGACAAGGGTTAGCACTGAGAGCGGCGGCGTGCGCGTCTATGGCGTAGCGAAGGGGCAGAAATGGAACTGCAACGCAAGCCTCGATGCCAAGAGACATTTGGTAGTTTATTAAGAAGTCAGTGATGCGGCCACAATATTTTAACAAAGAATGTCGAGATGTAATTAAACTTCAGATATTTAAATATTTATTATAAATTAAATATCACGTAAGAATTAGACACGAGAAGGAATTCTTCAAACGATATCAGTGTTCTCTTAACAACAACTACAGAATGTTCGTTGGCAAAAACAGTCATGCGCAAATTAAGAGGATGTCCAAGGCCATCAACCCAGAGCAAGAGATTTGCCTTCCTTAGGGATACCGTGTCATCTACACGTTAGGTTATTTCGCAAGTCACTTATCATGAGACGCAAGTTGGGTTTAATGTACCTTCTAATGAACGATTTGAAGTAAGTATTTTTTTCCAATGGACTGTACGTGAACTTAAAGAGTGAGTCCAAGACCAATTCTGTTGCAAAACAATGAAAATAGTTAACACCTTAGAAGAACAACTAATAGATCACCCCCCTCTGAAGTTTGAACATTATGTAGAAATTTTGAAAGAAATGAAATTTGAATGAAAAATGAAATTTCCCCCACAAAATTTCAACTCTGTATGTGTGATGCGAAAAACTTCTCAAGACGTACGATGAGTATAAGTTCGTAGGAGCAACGCTTTACTCTCTCAATGTCTAACTACTCTGACTCTTCTGACTTTGATCAAGAGTTATAACCTTAGGAAATTTACTTTCCTTTATGGCTCGCGTCGGGGATTCCAAACGGGCTTTGTGGCTTGCGTGCCCCCCGTCGCTACGCCAGAGTGCGAGGAGTGGGCGGGGCGTGGGAGGGGCTGGGCGCCGGAGAGCGCGTGGTACTCACCTTCCGGGAACGAGAGCACTGGGTGGAAGCAAGGGTCGAGCAGCGCCACGCGTTCGGCGGGCGTGAGCAGGTCGGGCTGCGGGAGCGGCGCCGTGGGGTCGGCGCGGCCCGTGCACAGCGCGCACCAGCTGAGCGGCCGGCTGGCAGCCGCAGCGCACCGTCAACGGCGCGCCGCCTTCTTTCACACCACGTGCAGCAGGCCACCTGCAGCAGCTGCGCTTGCGGAACACGCGCGCACCAGCGGGCCGCGTGGCGGTGCATCCGCGCCGCCGCGTCGAGGCCGCCGCAAACGCCAACGCTGCCGCAGCTGTCCGTTGCAGCGGGGCGGGGCCAGGGGGCGTGGGCCGGCGCGGGCGTCGAGGGCGCTGCTGTCGCTGCGGGGACGCGTTCGTGCTTGTCTTCGCCCCGGCGGGCACCCCGTGGAAGCCGTTTCCCCAACCTCAAGGCGTGCGTGTGATGGTGATGATGGAGATGTGGTTGGTAGGTTGGGCGTGGGGCCCGGACGCCGGCTCCGCCAACCCACGCCGCCGGCGCGGGCGGCGGTGACGCAGGCGCGGACGCGGGCGCGGGGGCAGGCGAGGGCGGGGGCGCCCCAGAGCCGGGGGCGACCGCCGCCCCCGCGGGGGCTTCCCCTAGACACACGTGCCCCTTGGCGGCCCGGATTTGTCTGTGCACACACGGACAACAAGGCTTCCACCATTAGCAATACTGGCTACGACACCACGCCACACATCTGATCTTTACGGAACGAGTCTTTTCTCGGCGCTTCCCGCCGCTTCTTGCGAGTGAGGCGGTGCCGGCCGCCGCCCTCCCTCCCCCCTCCCAGGCCTCATGCAGAGCCTCTCTTTGCCCTTTGCGCGCCTCCACGAGACCGAGCGTCGCACCGAGCTAATTTTAACGCGCTTGTCGCCCGCCTTCAAGCACGTTTCTCTCCGCGAGCGAAATGGCCCAATCGTGTTATGGCCACCTATGCATCAACTGCACCAAGTTACAACTTTCTTCCATCTTCTAGTATACTTCTTCGATGCTAATTCGAGCGGCGTAATGAAGCAAGTTATCGATGCTTGTAACAAAGATTTCCTTAGGTGGGTTGAGCTCCTTCATTGAAGTAATGTATGTTGACAGGCGTCCTCTAAAGAAATGTACATAATGTTATGTACAAACGTATCTATATTTTTGACAAATTACATACAAGCTCAGGGAATTTATGAGTGCCCAAAAGTGTTTAATTCAGAAATTATTTTTTAGGAACCATTTGCACGATGATGAAAAGCGGCACGAAGGCCTATTTTGTATTTGCAAAGTTAATTTTTACTGTCAAACTGAAGAGCAGCTCTGTTTACTGCAATTCAAATGATGGCATCAGTAACATTTGCGTCAGACAAAGCCAGTGCGTTGTAAGCGCCAAGTATTAATTTTGAATATACCAAACCCGGTCTCTTCTCAGAGCTACTGCTGATTATGCTCACCGGGATACAAATAAAATTATGGCCACAAATATGTGACAGTTCTTTTGGCGGAAATGAAAAGTCCTACGAGTCCTAGGAATTGCAGTAGTTTTCCTCGAAATCAACCTGAGGTAAAATATTTTGAACAAGTTTGTGCGAAATCATGAAAACTGTGAGTTCTACCACTGTGTGTCTATTGTGACGTGAACATCCTGCTCTCTTCTGTTGGTTCGCCTGCTTCAAATTCTCCAATGCGTTAATACACGAATCCTGGGCTGAAAATTTGATTCGTAACTCTCGACATTGAAATGATACACGGGAAACCAGGTGTTACCTATGTTTATTGCATTCTACCCAATGAATATTATCCAAACCCGGCTAGGCCGAGTCGCATATTCTCACTTAATATTTATGAGCAAGGTTTTATAACCATTTTATTTACGGTACCCATGGTTACTTTAAGCAAGTAACATCTATACTATTCACTTACGCACACTTTTCAAGTCGTACACACCTTAAAGCAATGTGTGTTTGAAAACCACGGAATCACTGCACACGGTGCTTATCGCGATTTCTCATCTCTCCCCCTCGCTCTTCTTTCGTTCTCACCCCCACCGAACGAGCGGCACCCCGCGCTGCAGGAAACGCCGAGAAAAGATTCATCACACAGCTGTGCAAGGCGTGCGCACACACGTGGTCCTTCACCACAGGAGACGAGCCAGAACTAGCCACCGCTCAACTGACAGGACATTCAAAGAATGCAGCATACCGAGCATTATCAGGCCATGCGCACAACCCAGAAAATGTACGTACTAATCATTAAACCTAGAGCATTTTTCTCCGTCATTTTTGTTATGTGAAAAGAGGAGAAAATCAATGGTCTACACAACATTCAGATTGCGAATTTTGTTGGATGTGTTTAGGCTACAAGCACGAAGAACATGCAAATCAGCCATTTCTGATGAGATCTGTCACGTCTAAAATGTTGCATTGATCAGTGTTCGAAAAGTATGTAATTAATGTTTCTAATTCCGAGGCTAAAGAGAAAATGTTCACAAGAAAATGTCAATGGGATGATAGCGTGAAATAATAAAAGACGGGGAAATTGCAGATGTGTACTTTGACGACGCACATTAATTTTGTTTATGGTCGAGTTGCCATTCCCCACATTTCAAAACACTAGGCAGGCAAAGCTTGGGAATATTTTGATAAAGGTGATCCACAATAAATGTGATGTAATGTTACGAAAGCACAAGCACGTTCGCTACAACTGAATTTCGTCGTGAAACTTCAAATCAACAAACTAGAAACGAGTCATGATGAGGATTTGATAAATATTAAATTAGAGGTCCCAAATGTTATTCCAACCGAACCAGATTTATACAAATAGCGATAAGTATTTGAATGACGCTGCATTATGACCAACACCAATGTCAGATAAATTATCAAAAAATTAGGCAAGTACGATAATAGAACAATAAATCCCGGATTTTCGTAGTTCCTCCCTCAATGTAAAAATGTTCCCAGTAATTCAAATAAATTATTCACATTTTTCAGAATATTCGTTATTCACGGCCAGCAAGCGTCATCTCAAGAAAAGAACACACGAGAAGAAACCCCATTGTGCATTTGTGTTTTGGTGTTTCGACATCTCAATGCCGACCTTAAATAATATTTACATTTATAATTGTAACATGATATCAATATAAAAACTAAATATTTCATAATCTAAATGTCTTTCGTGAGTTTGATATTTAGCATCAAAGTGGCAAGAAAGTGTTTACGATTTTAAAATATTTTGGAAATTGTCTCTCTGGATTTTTTATACATTCAGATTTTTTTAAGTACGCCTGTGTTTTTAGACAGACTAATTTTTTAATGAATTATTTAATTTGAAGACATTCATGTTCATAATTTGTTTAATATATAAACATGAATGAAATTAATTTATTCAATAACTAGTTTCTCAAAAAACAAAGACGTTTACCTAAAAACGTCTGATAGTGTTTAGGGCTTTTGCCACTAATGGTTACCCTCTATGTTGTTATGCGTAATAGAAAATAAAAAAAAAAGTATATCAAAAAGGTTCAACCATGCTTATGCACATTACGCTGAGAATTAGTGTCAAACTCTTCCAAATGTACGTAAAAATAAGTTCCTTACGCATGTAAAAAGGTTACAAAGGATAACGCTAGTAAAAGCGGAATATTGGAATATTTTATCACTGTACACCTAATACATGCCCTTCCGTGAGAAAAGGAAAATGATCTAATACAGGAAAACATGAAGCAAAATTACAGCATGCCTTAATATTATCAAAAGACAAAAGTGACTTTATAATCATAGATTCAGAAATACGCATCATAAAAGTATACACTGAACGTCAACGCCGTGCATGACGAAGAATTCTTAAGACTCAACCGACAGATCTTAAAAGTAGAAAATTACGTTCTTTCAAACAAAGAACTTCATTTCCAATGTTGCACAAATGCATGCCGTATCTGTGCACTAACATTGTCATTAAAAATCAAAGAAATAATGTAACCCCTGCCAGGGAAACACTATTGGGTACTCTCAAATATCGAACAGAACAGTAATTAACAAGTAGCAAAGTCATGATCACCTTCTGATGCAAAATTCACATCTTAGTCACAACCAAAAGTATTGCCAGGCAAAACAATGCATTTCTATATTTGAACTGCAATATAAATTCAGAAAACTTTGGTCGGCTAGAAAAAACAATTTTGTAATATATATTTTTAAAATATCGTTCCTGAATATTCCAACTCCACAAATTGCAAATTACAGTAAACAATGAATACGGTAATATTGAATAGTAATTTATATTATGAGTAACGATTCCCAAAAGGAATGAAGCGAAGATTGCAATCTCCTTTAGGACATGCGGATTCTATTAGACGCTCACTGTCAATAGTGACGTGAAAACTGCCAGCTTTCCAACTCTCATTCAGCCGCGTGTGAACACCGGCGCGCGATGGAGCGCAGGTGACAGGAAGGCGCATGGGAATAGGGGACGGCCGTGCGCAGGGCGAGCCCAGCAAGTTGAGATTTGGCTTGGGTACCGCTAAGACCACAATTTAAGTTAAGTTCCGCCTAAAACAATGATCCAATGCAATTTACCGAGTAGACAGTACCTGGGCATTTAATGCAACTGGGAGAAAGAAATATTTTTTAAAAATTATTTTCGTGTGAAAACTAAACAAATTCGAATAGTTCGTGTAATGTTTGGGAGATTAATCGCGAAGTTGACAACGCTGCAAAGCATTCCTGGACCATTGCGGGGTTTTCTGTGAGGGCAATGCGGATATTTCGAAGGGATGCTGTGGAAAAAAAATATTTTGAACGGAATTTTGTATTCCATCTATGTTTGCATTGGCGGGACGACACGATAAACAGGAACATTTAGCGATAAAAGAACTTCGGTTCCCTTCTCTTGACACGAACGGGCCAAGCATCTCTGGGTGGCAATGTAACCATCAAAATAAATAAAACTTGAATACACCCTTTCCACGCTTACGTGACTCTTCAAAAAAAAAACCAACTTTTTTTAAAATCTGAGTAATAACTGTCCTTTCGCAACGAACCTACCAAACTTACGTTGACGCACGGGCCATAAAGGCCAGTGAAGAAACAAGTTCATAATCTAGCGTAGTTGTTGAACGCACCTAAAAGACTGCGCCAAATTCGCAGCTGTGGCGAACACGGAATTACGGCCACTGGGAACGAACCGTAGCGGGACGGAGGGCGAAAACGATTGAATAACAAAAATATTTATTATTTTTATTTAAAGAAACAGGGCCGAGAGCGGAAAGAAAGAGACGCGGTCTTACCTATGGATCTCGTTGTGCTGCCGAATGCGATATTCCAGGTCGGAGATCTGCGCCTGCAGCCACGTCCAGCGGCTGGCCACCCCAGCGCGGTCCCGGGCCCAGCGCCACGCCGCCCGCTTCCCACTGCAACACAAAAGCACAATGTCGTCACTCGCCGCGCTCGCAAGCTGCCTCACGCACGCCTCTTCCCGGGCAGCTTAGCCGCACTTCCACACTCAGAAAGTACATTTCTGCAATAGCTTTGTTATGTATTATTATTTGTAATATGAATAAGTCATGTATAGGGGGCGAATTTTGATGACCTAAAACATTGCCAAAAATTATCAATAAATTGCTCTTAAGTGCTTAAAAAATGGCCTAAAACAAAGAATGATAACCTAAAAAATAGATCAAAACAACTTCAGATGAACAACTCAAGCTGTTGGAAATTTTACTAATGTAATCGAGGCTTCTTCCTTTTGTTCGAGTGAACTCTTGCCTGCAAATTTTGGGTTTAGACTGTTCATTAAAAGTAAATGTCTGCCTTCATCGCAAAAACGACCGAACTCACCATGACCTAGACAAAAATTTGCATCATCAATATTAAAAAGTTGCTGAGCCCTCAACTTGTATTTTCTAGTATCTCGTATTTGCTCCGTGAGACTACTGGAAAACAATACCCGAATTCTCTTCGTAATCGACCACAATTTTTCGCAATTTTCGGCCTTTCCAAATTAAAACTTTATGCTTGGTACCATCAAGTACAATACTCCGTAAGGAGACCTAAGACAATTGACTTATTCGTCCACATAATGTAAATATATACACACTAGTTGAACCCATGCGATTAACTACTTTGTTCTCACCCGAAAATCAAAGAGCACAGCAAATTTGTGTTTTTGCCGCATTCCACTGTATACTTTACACTTGCCCTACAAAAAGTGAAGAAAAACTTTGGAGCAGTTTTGGCGGTGGTTTTGTGTGTGTGTGTGTGTGTGTGTGTTGTAATTGTCTATATTTTATTCAAAACTGCGAAAACTACGAACATTTTCAAAAAATGCACATGACGTAAATTAATGAATTAATGACTGACGACAAATTTCACAGTCTTCAATATTGTAGTTTTAGAAAGACAGCGAAAAAATCCAACTTTTTAAAAATAAAGACAACAGTGAAAATCGAACCTATGCCATCTTTTATAAGTATGTGGTATAAGTGTAAGTAAATGTCTATCTTACAAGAATTGCAGTTGGAGCATTTGGAGCCATTTTTTTAAAGATTTCTCAATGGGGCCTAAAATTGAAAGTGTTTTTCAAAATTGCAGGGCGAGTCTGGTCCGATCGACCGGGGAATACTCATTTTGGTAAAAGCCTAGAAATGGTTTAGGCGGTAATGTTAAACGCCGAGGAAGGTTTGATATGAGGACTCCAAAACGCGTATTTCTGTTGAAATTCCGAAATCTATTTTCCCCAGCATTACATAACTTTCTCTATACTACTTGTATTCCTTATACGCGTATGCACACAAGAAAGTAAAAAAGACGCATTGCATTCTACTTCAAAGGGCTTGAGACAATCAATGCATTATTTTCTTAAATATGTAAGGTACACAGGAGTTTGTGGATCCTACCAATGATGTAGATGCTCAGATAATACCAATACTTGAGAAAAATGGCAAAATTTTTGCATTTCATTTTGCTAAGGGGAGGGAAAACTTTTTTTTTCTTTTCCCCCTTTCTTCACACGAAGTAGAAGAGTCACTCATTACTAAATGAAACGAAGAACACGAGACGCTTGAGCCAAGAGCTCGCAGCTACGAATCTCGCTGCCCGTGCGCCACGCGGCCTTATCGGAGAGAAGAAGGCAGCGCTTCAGCCGCGGGCTTATCGGCGGGGAAAGGAGGAGACGGATGGCGAGGGGCATGGGAAGAGGAGAGGTTGGTAGAGGAAAAGAAGGCGGGGGAGAGGATGGAGATGAAAGATGAAAAGGAATAGAGAAGAGAGGCGGGGAGGGGGAAGGGAAAGATGGTGAGGTTGGGAAAAAAGGCGTAAAGACGATATAAGGGGGAGGGGAGGCAATTAGGGCAAGGTATGTGAAAGACTGGGGAAAGGGAGACAAAATGCGCGATGGTGGGAATGTGTGATGCGGAAGGTAAAGAAAAGGGAGAAGAAATGCGAAGAGGTGGGAATAGGAAGGGGAAGTAGAGGTAAAGATGTACTGAGGCACAAAGTGAAAGATTTTCTTCGTAATTGCCACGCACTGGTCACGCCAATGGGATTCGTATGAAGCAGCGAACTCAGATGCTGCTTCCCTTCAAAACACGATTAATTTTAAAACGGCGATAGTGATCTGGAGGTCACATGCAACTTCCATAAACTAGTGAATGATGATAACGTTGCCTTAATTGAAGTGGCGACACGTTTCTGACGGTACATATTTCTGCCGAATCTCTTAACATGAAGGTGTAAGCAATGCAAATGAAACACACATTCACCTTTCAATAAGTAATGGGGAAAACTTTATAAAACGGTTGGAATGTATTCTCAGAGTTGTAATTAACGTTGGCAAAATTTTAGAATACCTTTTCTTAATCGCAACACACTGTGAAGCCCAAACTGATGTACTATATTTAACTGCATCTGAATATCCCGATATTGATGTATACCAATTTTTCTTAGCGGAATGAAGGAGAAAAAGGAAGACTGTGATTAACCAAGGATATAAAAATAAAGAATATTCTACTAGTTCAATAAATGAGTATCAAGAATTAAAAATAGGTTTCGAAAATGGACTCTTTATATCCACTGAAATATAAACATATTAAAGAAAAGTTGTAAATAGCGTTCTCTGAAACGATGAGTATAAATAAATACACTAGTGTGAAGTAATATGAGCGACGTATGAGCACGATACAAGCGAGGTACGGAACACAAACTTCAATTGGGTGTATTAATACCAATTTCATCGAATTGAATACACCACTTTTTTCCCATTAATAATATAAATTGGAAGTTAAACTTTTGGATTGAAAAATTCCGTGGCAACTGGTAGGCACAATGCAGCCAACGACACTTATAGTAGACAGACTCCTAGGCGGTACTTGTTAAGCATAAACACAATCCGACTTTTAAAGGGCAGTACAAGCGTTATGATTCAGTTTATTAAAGACATATCCAAGTTCAGTATATGTCCTTGTTTCTAGTCAGCTTAATGATTGATACAGTTCTCACAGTAGTCTTCACTATTCTGATTTTCTTCTGAGATGTTGAAAAGGGGAGGGCTGTGCGGGTAAGTTATCTCCAAACGGTTGTCCCGCCACAGTTATATCATCACATGTGCCTAATACTCTAGTCTATAACAAGCAATATTCGGTCTTCGGTTGCACATTGCAGCGCTTCTCATGTTCCCCTATGTACTCGTCCTCGAAGGGATGCTTTAGTGTACCACCGCAGAAGTAAACTATGTCTACAACCGCTTCCCTCCCTAATCTGTCCCGCGCTGAGTCCATTTCCCGCATTTTGCCTGAGAAAGTCACAGTACAACCGACCGAAACGTGCCTGGGAAGCGGCGTTACCCGAACAGCCATTTAGTGTAGTATGCGTGTGTGTGTATATGGATTACATACTCAAAGTAGAAATATTTTCGGATAATATAAAAAGTAGCCGTATTAAAATTAATAATGTGCAAGTTTCATTAAACATCCAAAGCGAGTATTTCTCTAGTTAAGTAAGTTTTTAAGTTTTATTTGCCATGGATTTTATACACCTATCTGTAACTTATCAACAGATCTAAAATGCGTTAAAATAGCCGTGATGCTAGAACATCGGGTAAGGCTCACGACAAAGTTAATAGAACGATGACCAATCATTGTTTACTTCTCATCTGTGAACCTCTGAGTAATGTGTGCAACACTTGTAATGAAGCTGTATCTTAATGATTAATTATGTAATGAGCTGCAGTAATCAAATAAAAGCAATGGGAACCAAAAAGGTTAAACAATGTTTTGAATGTTGATGGATAGACTTTGAAATTAAAAAAACTACCCCAAACCAGAAAATCCAATAACTTCCAGGGACTGGATTCATCTCCTGCTGAGTAGTATTCTTCCCTCAATCGAACTGGTAGCACATACTTTCTTGACATATTTCAACTTTTCCAATTTTCAAAAATAACGAGGTTCAACGAAAATGAGTCCAGTATCATTCTTTGAAGTGTTGTTCTATCGATGAAAAACAATTGAAGCCTTTCTCGAAAGTTGTTTGAAATAATTAAAAATTGCCTCACCAGCAAAATTACCAGAAAACTTTTCACCCTCGAAACATTGTACATGACCTTTACTTCACAATCGATCTTTAAAGAACAGATTCATCAAGGGGGGAATCTCTGATCTGCAAAATTGTAGTTGTAAGAACATGAAAATTTTATTCGGCAAGAGTTTTCTGCGCACGATTACAATATTTTCTCTTCTTCCGAAGACGAGAAAGGATTTTTCCAAGGATTCTTCAGATTTTCCAGAATTTACTTTTACCATCAATCTCACAGTTGAGAAATTTCTTCTCACACGTGTCTCGTCTGACATGTGTTACAGCATTTTTCGGAGTAAAACTCATTCGACCTATTGTCGTGCTTCGAACATGGTGTGAATATCGAGAAATTTAATCGTGCAGAAGTCGAAGCGAGAGAAACAAAAACGCAACTAGTTTTTGCTATGAGAAACTAGTCACGATTAATTAAATCTCCGAATTCTCCATATTTTCTTTCAATCGTTTTATTCACAAATAGCTAACAATCCTTTCCGCACTAGAGTGAAAACAGCATGTATTCTATATTTTCCTACCTTTAAAGTTAGTGTTCCTGTACTGTTTCCCCAAAAGGACTTCAATAAACGTACGTTACAAAAACACGTAAGGTACTGCGTGTGATACGAAGCAAGAGTACGAATCATGAACGTTACGACTGCACTATTTTATATTTATAGTTCTCCATAGCTTTGGAAGGAGAAGTATGAACATATTTTGGTTCAACTAATAAGTGCAAGCTGACTTTTCAGACCCAACATTGAATTACCCGCATTACCACCAGTGAAGGTACATTCAGCGTTACCATAGACCAGAAACGGGCGCAACAAAATGCAATCAGGAAATA